CACAATCAAAGCACAGACTCCAGATATGTGAAGGCTCTTCTTTTTCAGGAGGTATTGAGTCGATGCTTTGGTTCATTGCTGTGAGCTTTGGGATTCCGACCTTTTGCCTCTGTTGCAGCGTATGAGGCTGACGTCAACCGCGTGTCGTGGTCCAAGCGCAGGCACGGTTTGAGACCATAGCAGGCTACGCCTGAAAGCAAAAAAGCCTTACGTACAGCCAGTACATCCCCAATCCCTAAAAGACCTAAAAGACTCCAGAGCAGTTGTCCGGGGCCGATGCATTGATTCCTGTCAGCTCAGTCAGACTAGGGGTTGTCCATGTCCAGCGGAACACAGGGACCTGACAACCCGACTTCATGCGGCTTGCACCCCAAAGTTGAGAAGCAGCATGGTACTTGTTTATACTTCCTACAAGAGCTACTTTTATGTACCCTGGTAGGTATCCTTTTGAGAAGCTCTTGGAGAGGAGGGTTGTCATGATGCTTGCCGAAAAGAAGCTTCATAACGCAGGCGTCGCGAGGTTGAGGATCTAGGGGCACAAGTGCTCTTTTGTGCTGCCAAATGCATGGTGGCAGCTTTGCATGCCTCCTTGTATTCAATAACTCAGCCAAAATCCTGCCCCAAAACATATGGTAATTTCCAAAAATTGGGTCCCCAAAAAATTCCAACATCACATGATTGTTATGGGGAGTGCCAAAAAAGGGGCCCCTGATTTCCGGAAGCTCTTACACAGGCCAGCAAATCCTGAGCCAAACCTCAACCCCGAACCCTACCCTCAAACATGTAGTAATGGTGGTGTCTATAGGTCCCCTTAAAGGGGCTCCTGATGTCTGCGAACTTTTTTACATAGGCCAGTTAACCAAGCCGGGGTCCCTTCACCTCAAACCCTAGAAGCTAAACTAAACCGCTAGCATGCAGGTTCATCGAGGGCCGTGGCGAAAAACAGAGGAAGGTGACTCTGGGAAGAGGGTTCTTCCCCAGGGAGCTCCACACCCCTGGGTATAAAGCATACTAGTGATGCTAGTATCATGTAGGGTATATTCCTTAACTAAGGCGTCTTGGGCTCTCTGGGCCCTTCATCCAAACGCTTTCTGGATGAAAGAATCAGTCACTTTTGGACTTGCCATTGAAGGGCCCTGTGGTTCTTGGAATGGAATGTCCTGAGGCAACAGTTGCTTACAGCCAGCATGTCTTCCCAAACAATCGCCTGGTCCGGTAAAGCCTTCGCAAAGAATCTTGCGGTTTCAGCTTAACTCAGGAGTGATCAAGCGGAATCAGAAGACTCGTCATTCTTCTTGGTACTTTTAAGTGGGGCTGTTGCTACCCTAGTTGAGTTTACTGTCCGGCGGGCGCATCCTTGTAGCACTCCATGCAACTCCCCGAAACTCAAAACAGTGGAGTGCTGGAAATTGACTTCTGGATTACGCCTTCAGTCATAGCAGCTTCAGGATCACATAGGGGCTTGGAGGGTGCTCTTGTAAGGATTGTGGAGGCCGTGATGCCGAAGCTCCACGCAGAGCACGCCCCCCCATAGTTCAGCAACGTAGGTTCTACTAGTACCGAGGGGTCTCACCGGATTCACAGGACAAAACTGTTCATCAAAGGATTTCTGGGCACATACTGAAGCCGATGGATACCTGCACTACACTCTAAGCTCTGGCGTTTCCACCCCCAGGCGGCTTCTCAGGCAATGCTTGCGGCCTCGCATCTTCGAAGAGCGAAGGTAGCCCATGAGGTTTTCAGGATTTTGGTGTAGGATTTTGAATCTTCAGTTTGAATTTTTGGGGTTAGTGGCTTTGGGCTTGTGAGTTTAGGGCTTGCGGGTTCAGGATTTGGTGGCTTGGTGTCTGGGGATTAGGGTCTACTTTCTATAAATCCCCATGCTCTAGGGTATGCATGAGAATTTGTTGCATCATTTTATGCATCCACGCTCCCACCTTCCATGAAGCATTAAGCACCATCTTGTGAAAAGTGCATCCACGTGGATTCCCCAGAAGTTTGTGTGCCCGGTTCCTTGACGTACGCATCAGGTGATCGAAGTACACATGTCTGCACCTTTTGTCAAACTGCAATCCCGTTTGAGAGCGTTTGCAGTGAGCGTTCAGGCTATGTGAGATATCCTCGACCGCTATCACTAAGCTTCCTAAGCTTCCAAAGCGTTCTAGGGAATAGAGGAGTGGATCCGTATAGTAGATTTTGGCAGTTTCCATTTTCGTTTCCATTAGTTTATTCCGCACCATAAAGTAAACAGCTTGAAGCCTAAACCCCTAGTTGAAGGGGAAATCCTAAACCCTTAATCCTAAATCTTAAACTCTAAATTTCAACCCTATACCGTAAGTCCTAAACCCTAAGCCCAACCCTAATTCTTGCAGGTTGCAAGGTTTGCGGTCTGCTTTGGAGTTGGGATATCCGAGTTTCTTTTGGCTTTTTCTTTCAAAGTTGTGTGCAGCCTGCCTTTGCTTACCGGGGAAGTTGACGATTTTGGGTTCAGGGTTTAGGGTTCAGGTTTTAGGAGTAGGAGTTGTGGGTGAGAGGGTGCTTCTTAACAACGGCTCGGTTCAGTGGGTAAGAGTGCTTGGTTCTTCGGGCTTGATTTGAAGGCTTTAGGGTTTTGGTCCTCGTATTTGCATTCATCAAGCACGTGTCACAGCTTTGCAGCTGCTTGGATCCTTGAATGGCCTCTAAACCCCAAACCCAAAGCCCAAACTTCTGAACCCTAATCCAAAACCGTTTTTGGGCTCACTTGTCGTCTTGGGGCTGGATTTCTTCAGCAAGAACAAAGGAGGATAAATAGAAACGACCAGGGCAAATGAAAAGGACACGGGCATTGCGTAGGGTTTAGATAGGATGATAACCGGTAGTGAGAAGATATCGGTTACCTCAGCCCCCAACACAAGCACCTTATACTTCTTGAATGAGGGGTGTTGAGCTGCCTAAACCCTAAACCCTAGACTCCCTAAACCCTAAACGCTGAACCTAAACCCTAAAACCCTAAACCCCAAACTGTTTATGTAGTAGTTTATAACCCTAAACCATGTAGGGGTTTATAAGCACCGGTGTCGTCCTCTTTCTACATGGTACTGGTGTTTGGGGTTTGGGGCTTGGAGATTTAGGGATTTTAGGGTTCCGGGTATCTCAGGGGCTAAGTGTGTAGGGATTTATGGGGTTTAGGGGTTTCGGGTTGGCATTCAGTTTTCGGGTTCACGGGGTTTACATTTGCCGGTCTTGCTTGGCAGTCTTGCTTCCACAGCCGAGAAAAAGGCTTAATTGCTGAGTTGGGCGGGGCATGCCGCCGCCATTTGTCTCAAGGTCCATGTTTACTTACTGCATCCGAGAAAGCAGCCCGGTTTGGATTTCAAGCTGCGGGTGTTGGAGGAAAGGGGTCTTCTTTTAAGCCGATGGAGCTTTAGCATTTGGAGTCCCTAAATACTTTTTTTTGTGACGAGAACCTCTTCCATTATTTGAGGCCATACTTGCAATGCCAAGGCTGGCACTAGTCCCGATTGTCTGCGCCAAGCAGTGATATGTTGCCTCAATAGTCGGTATTAGGTTGTTCCTTTTTGCTAGCTTCGTCCTCCTTACGTTCATGTTCCATTTTGCGGGCCATGTGTTGCTACGGTCATGTAGGCTCCAACAAGTCGAATTCCAGTTTTGGGGTCCTTGAAAGCCTTCTTGTTTGCAGAAAGAAGAGAGCCCTAACCTCTTTGAAGGTTTCTGAGTGGTTGAGCATGTTTTTCGTGGAGCTTCTAGCATCGAGCAACCGTGCTTTCCGGAGTTCTTTCACTCAACTCTGGATGTATAAGCATAGAAGCAACGCAGAATTGGCCCCAACATGCGAATCCAACTCCCTCAGCCCTGAACCCCATGTCCATGTCCCCCGGAACCCCAATCTCTAACCCCAAGCCCCAAAACCTGCGGCACCAAACACCAATCCCCAGATCTCAAATCCCCATCAGCCCCAACCCTAGTGCCCTACAGTTCAAGCTTTTGTGTTTGAAAGCTTGGCGTGCAGAGGTTAGCTTTCTGAAGTGGCTATGGTGGCGCTTCTACTGTTGTCGATGTACGTAATGCAAGTGTGGTGTTCGTTCTAGTGTTCCGAGAGCTTTTAGTATCTAGTCGGGCGATTGAAGCCACTGCGCGTTTGTATATTCCGCAAGCAGGATCATCCACATTATGAGGGGCCCTTCAGAAGGGATCCGTAATATTCAGAATCCATAAGCTCTATGCCCTAAACTGAAAGCGAGCCGAGGTACTACCCCCACTTCGTCACTTCGTGAAGAAGTTTCCTTGCCGCTTGGCAGTAAGTAAGCTGTTCGGACACTCAACTCTTTTTTTTGGAACGGGTTACATAGGTTCTACTGTGCAGATCCATTTTTCCATTCCCTCAACCAGTAATTTGGGGTTTCGGAATTAGGGTTTTGGGCTCCGCCAATCTGATGTTGTTTTGTTGGGTTTAGGGTTTAGGGTTTCAGGGCTTAGGGTTTAGGGCCCTTGCTAACTAGAAACTGGCGTGTAGCCAGTGGCCCTTTCGGTTGATTGATATCGTGTTGTCAAAGAATATGCCTCCTTGACAATGGGGAAACCGTTTATTCCCCGAGAGGGACACTTGTTACCGGGAGATGTCCGTCCGACATGCCAAGCTGAAAAGTACGCGGCTTGATGCATTTGGCTCAACCTAGGAAGCTCGTAACAAGAGGTTTCGGCTATAGGGTTTATGGTTTAGGAGGGTTTAGGGATTGATCGGGATCCTAGCCTTTTTAGGGATAGAGCCGGAGCCTGGGTACAGTTCAATGGAGTGGCACCTTACGAACCCATTTCATAAATAGGGGCATGAATCATTACCAACATCACTTTGAGGCTTAATTGAGGTACCATATTTACGAATTATACAAGGCATCTAGGGCCACAATATTGGTAATTAGTTAGGCCCCTGTATCAAATCCAACCCTAGACCTCATGTGGACCTCCCAACCTATGCATATACCGCGTTGGAGGTAGCAATGCTTGCTGGAGCATTTTATCTGCCGCTTGAAGCGCAAGGAGTTCAGATTCTGGTGCGTACAGTTGAGGTGTGAATGATTTAGGATTGCAGTGTAGTGGTTGTTTAGCAATCGATTTTTTGGTCCAAATCTTCAGCGATTCAGGTTTCCAAGATACTGAAGCCAAGAAAGGTGTATTCAGCCAGACCTGACTACAACATTTCTGCAGCTGCCCCTGCACGAATATTTCGGGTGCTGTAGAAGCAGAACCCTCAATCACAATATGATGCATTTTGAAAGATGGGCCGCAACTATTATGGTGCTCCGAAATGCGTAAAGACTACTGTCCTTCTTAAAAGGGGTATGAATGGGATTCTCCGTTAGTTTGTGCCAGTGTTCCTGGAAATGGTCCGTTGGTGCTGCGGTCCAACGCCAGCATTTCGCTTCACGAGTCTTTCTTAGGGTTCTAAACCCTAAACCCCTAAACCCCAAACACTGCACCCTGAGCCCTTTCTGCACATTGAAGGCCGACATCAAGACCAGGTTTTCGACGGCTGAAGAGCCATAGGTTTCGGATCAGCAGCACGCTTTTCAAGCACAGTCCGATTGTTAAGATTTCATGCTGCGCCCTCTACTGTGAGCCCCTTGCTCCTTATGCAAGTCTAGAACCATGAAGGCCTTTGACTGAATTTGTTACCACCCCAAAACCAGCCTCAACACAGAGCCCTAAGCCCCAGAAACCGGCTCGCCACAAACCCGGCTCTACCTTTTGGCTGAGGCAAGCGTAGATAGAACAGAAGGTCCAGATATCACGTAGTTTCTACTTGAGGAGGGCATCTGCAACTCTACATTACCCCAAGTGTGCACCCATTTGTACCTTGCATTGTTTCTCTTTAAGAAGGGCTGCCAGCTGAGGTGTTTGGCCGCGTTGCCAACCTTCGCCGTTGCGAGCTCCGAAAGTTTCTGGGCTTCTACAGCGGTTCTCCAAGTAAGGGGTCAGTGTTACGTGAGTCGGATTTCAAGTGTTGGGGGCATCTACACAGGTGACCTTTGGGATTTGAGCAATGCTCGTATGGGTTTCTTCTTCTTTCTTTGGAAAGCGTTTTTCGATTGAAGCCCTTCTCCACTGATTTTGACAGACTAGGGGTTTAACTTCTGGGCCTCTGCTGGTTCCTCCGGTGTTTGCAAATGTTGGGCTCCCTTGGCCCGTGTTTTCAGCGTGCTCGGGCATACGGAAACTTTATTCTTGCAGTGCTGTTTTCTACCAGGGGCTGGCTTTGAGTTTGGGTTCAGCGTTTCAGGGGTTGGGCTCCTTCCTTTTCTGGGAGAGCATTGTTGGGACTGGATTCTTATGATGTTACCGGCTGTTGCAGTGAAGCCTAAACCCTATATAACCCCTATATAACCCCAAACTGTAGTGTATATATATATATGTATATATGTATACACACACGCACACACCTTATAATCCCTACATAAAGCCTTTATAACCCCGTATATCCCCTAGTAGTTTATAATGGTATGATAAAAAAAACTTCTTGGGAGACTGGAGTTTGTCAGCTTCTTCTGGGGCAAACTTTGCTGAGCTGTTGACAAGGTAACCCCCCGAACCAGGCTGTGACAAGTTCAGCCATGAGCTCAGCAGATTGTCATGGCATACCTACTTGTTCAGTATATAGCCCATAAATATGACCCACATGTAGGCGCCATAGCCCATGAATGGTCTAAACCGCTCAGCCCCACACCCTAATCCTCAATCTCCCGAAGCCCTAAACTTGAGCGATGCCGCGTGGCGCCAGCCCAGCATGGCACATTAGCAAACCCTAATCTTTGCACCTTGAAACTATAGAGGTGTCAGATAAACCCTAAACCAATCCCTATATAACCCCAATATACTATAGTAGTTTCCATTTTATTTTCCATTATCCCCAATACAACCCCAACCCTGAACCCTAAACCCTAAATCCAATATATTATAGTAGTTTCCAGTTTCTTTTCCATTATCCCCAATATAACCCCCCTTCATCCAAGGTTTCTCCCGGGGCGGCCGACTCCGCGCCTCCGTGGACGCCGCCGCCTTCGAGGCGGAGTTGCAGCCGCTCGGAAAAGTTCTGTTGGGGTGTTGGGGGGTTTAGGGTTTAGGGTTTAGGGCTCTGGGGGTTTCGGGGTGGTATCGGGTTTAGGGTTTAGGATTCATGCTTTAGACTTTAGGGTTGAAGGTTTAGAATTTCTTGTTCAGGATTTAGTACAGAGTTTGGTTTGGTGCTTAGGGTTTGTAGGATGGGGCCATGATGGGTATAGGGGTCTTAGGACTCTGAGTCTGCAGGGTTTATTCCAGTATAGTCACATCCGTGAGGGTTTAGGGGATCTGGGGTTGTAGAGTTGCAGAAGTTCAGGGTAAGTACGAACGAAGCACGAGCTTATATAGGATATATAGGGATTATGCACGGGAGTCTAATGATAACCCTTCCTCGGAGACATTGTCATGTGTTCTACGGCAGAAATCACCCATATATGACCGAACAGAAAATCACGTGAGTCAGGAACCCTCAAAGGAGTTCTGGTTTGGGAATTAGGGTCTCTAAGGTTTCTGTGTTTGGTCTTCGTCCAGGTGTTATTGGCGGACTCCAATCTTGAGAAAACATGTAGACTCCAAGCAGCACCGTGCCCATTGGCAGCGTAAAGCCAGTAACAACCATAGTATCAAATGGCCGTGCTGATGGCAGTTCTCTTACATTAGTTTGATACATCGCCGACAAGGCCCCGCAGAATTTCCTTAAGATGCCCACATGTCTTTGGAGTCCTCATGGGCTCCCTGTTTGAAGAAGCCCCCGCGTAGAACCATTGTCACATTCGTCTTCCAACCCACGAAGCTCAGGGCCGCTATGGGTGGCGCCCTAGGTTGTGGTGGCGAGGTGGGGGCAGTACCGCCAGCTGCTTTGGGTTGGCTGCGGTAGGGGATTTCACATGGGCGTGGATAGGCGTGGGGGGTGCTGCGCGGTTTCCGTAGCGTTTGAAAGGGTCTTCCTTCAATTGCAGGGAAACTGAAAGGCATTCTTCTGGCTTGCAAGTTAGAGAGCTTCGTGGCTCGGCTTTGACTTGGGAATCGTGGGCTTGATGTTGAAACTTTGACCAGGCAGTGTTAAGACATTTGGAGCCACGTCCCTCTATTCTTTAGTGCTGTCCCTTGGACTTGCCAGAGATGTTGATCAAGTGTCCTGCAGCGATATGGCGAAATTCAATCTGCTTCATGACAAGCTGGCGCAGACTTGTGTAAGACAACTATCAACTACCCTGCGTCCGAATGCTTTCAAACAGACAGCTCTACAGGAAATTGTTAAAGATGAGCAGCAGCAACACTATCCACTGCCTTGTCTTCTGATAGATTTATGGCTCTGAGTGTAGTATACTGCTAAGCCTTAAATCCTCAGACCTGAACCCTAAATCCTAGAACCAAGACCCTGAATCAGACCTCTTAAGCACTAAAGCCTAAGCCCCGCACCCTGAACAGTAGGTCCCAACTGCTAGCCCCTCCGTGCGCAGGTCGCCCCACAGAAACTGCGCCAGCTGGAGGCCGGTCGTGGTATTTACAAAGTGAGTTAGGGTCTAGGGGTTTAGGGTTTAGGGCTTAGGGTTTAGGATTTTAGGGTTTGAGGTTTCGGGATCAGAGTTCACGGTTTAGGGTTTAGGGTGTAAGTTTGAGGACAAAGGGCTTAGGGGTTCAGGGATGAGGTTGTCTGTTAAGCATGCTCAAGTTTGCGGGTGCCTTGCGGAGGGCTGTGTGGAGGCTCTCAATTTATTGGCGCTTCCAAAGCTTTTTAGGACCTATGTAGCGGTTGTGCACGGCAAGTGCGGATGATGCGAGTTTAGGGTTCTCATCCAGTTTATCCCACTATATTGGGTGCTTGAAATGGAGGCTGAGTCATGCTTTGGGGTTTATATGGGGCCACATGCTTGAGAACTCTGCAGTACTTCTTCCAGATATTCCGATTCCAGCGCAAAAGTGGCTGTGCTTGTAGCCTTCAGGTGTAGATGATGTAGCAGCAACAGAAGCAGTAGCCCTTTGGACGAGCCCTTCTGTTTCATGTGAAGCGTAGATTCACTGCCTTCTTCCGCATAGCTGCTTTGTAGCGGGGGAGGGGAGGCTTATTCTCACTTGTGCAGAGGCACGCTCGCAGCCCGACTTCTAAGCTTGAACCCAACCTGCATCACTACACAATGATGTCCTACAGTACAAGAAGCCAAAAATGATAGTCTAAACTCAACTCCTAGTATACCCCTTAATTGGCCCTATGACAGTCCCCTATATAAACCCTACTCCTTTAAGGAGTTTAGACCCTAAACCCCAAAACCCAATATAATCCCCTATATGACCACACTTTTATCGTCTCCTATCTAAGAAGCCCAGATAAAAAGGAAAGTTGAGACTGCTAATCCCTGTTAAAGGGGGTTGTATAAGGGATTGACGGGGTGTTATTGGATTATATAGGGTGTAGGGTTTAGGGTTGGGTTATATACATATATATATATATGTATATATATAGGTGCTATATAAGGACAATGAACAAGAAAATGGAAGCGCTATTTAGGGTTTTGAGTTTAGGGTATATATTGGGGCTAGATGAGCTATAGTCTAAACTCCTTAAAGGAAGCTATATAAGGGATTATATAGGGTTTCCTTTATAGGGCCGATTAAGGGGGGTACCAGGAGTTTAGACTATAGCTCATATGAAGACGCCCACTCTCCCAGCATTGAATCTTCCCATTGTGGTACACCATTATTTGGACGGGGTTTTGATGTTGTGGGAAGGGGATTGCTTCAGAATTATGAGCTCGGACCGAAGATCCTGAACGCATGCTGGGGTCGAATCTAGGAAAAACAAGGCAGATTTGGGTTTCTCAAAATTACGGGTGCATTTTGGGGGCTATTATGTTTTGGGGTCTGAATAGAGGGGCCCCTAATTATGGAAGCTTGCATGTCTCAAGGACCCTGAAGCCTCCACAATTATCTATCGCTCTCAAGGTTGAGGCATGCGATGTCACTGTAGACCATATTGTGGCTTTCGCAAAAGGATTTCTTTAGGTGCCCATACCTTTGGAGCAAGCCACACCCTGACAACCTGTAGCAGGACAGTATTCTCCTTCGTGCCTCTTGTGGGGTGAGAGCTTCGTAGGAGAGTAGATACCTTACTCATCCCCCGACGTTGTCCTGCATATCGCTTTTTTAACCTCCAGAAGGTCACATGTCCTTTTTTACATTGTATAACTTCCTTCAGAAAATGCAAGCTCCTGAGAGGCAGAGCTGGATAGCACCTATGCCACGCTGCCAAAGAATGGTAGCGGGCTCAGAACGGTGATGAGGTTTATAGGTACCCATTGAATAATATAAGGGCTATATTGAGGATATATCATCCCCCAATAGTGGAGAATCAAATGGAATATCGAATGGAAAATGAAATCGAAACAGTGGTTTATTGTTTAGGGTTAAGGGGCCCTTGGGGTAATATTAGGGTTATGTTGGGGTTATATTGGGATAATGGAAAAGAAAATGGAAACTATTATAATGGGTTGTATAGGGACTATAGGTATGTATTGGGTCATTCCTCCTCACAATAACTGTCCTTAAAGGCATCTTATTCAGGGGTTGCCTGGGCAATTTCCCCCATGACCCATCCCATAGCCCTAAACCCTAAACCCCAAACCCTAAACACCTTGTAATCCCAGGCGCTGGCCGCATCGACCGCCGCTCGCTGCGCTACCTCACTTACCGTCACTTCAGCCAGAAGTGTCTTGGCCAAAGTTCATCTGGTGGAGTACAGCCCATGCTAGATTAGTGCTGAATTGAAGTTCGGTTTTCTTGGTACAACTAGTCCCCCCCAAACGGACACAGAATCCCTAAAGATCCCTGCAAAGAGCACTGTGTTTTCAAAAGGGCACTATGGCGCTCCAATGTAGTTCTGGGAGAATGTCTCATCTTCTTTTGGGACACCAGGATTGAGGACAAGCGGTCAAGGCCAAGTTTCTCTGAGTACAGGGCTAAATGATACAAGGATCAGCAGAAGCAAGCAAGCAGCCTTTTGAGCTTGGTGCAAACACGACGGCCAGACCTTTGTAATGCAATGGGTCTGCGGGGGGTATGGAGGCGCTGAGAGAATCAGACTTTGACAGTCCGATCTTCGATCCAATGTTTGTCGATCATCGTTGCTACTCCCAAAGCGGTACCTGGAAGCAGTAGGAAGCTGCGGGCATGCCGCGCCTGTACCTTCTTTTGACAAAATCTCAACCCCCCAACTCAACCCTAAAGCCTAAGCCCTATACCCTAGATCCTAAAGCCCCACGACCTCCGAATGGAAGGTACGCTCTTGTCATCCGGGGGTTCGAACCTTCCCGACCGAGCAATGAGCAGCTTGACGGACAGAACACGTACAGAGCCAGGATCACCCGCTGGGGTAATATTTGGGTTATATAGGGGTTATATATTTATCTAGGGATAATGGAAAAGAAAATGGAAACTACTATGGGGCATATGGGGACCTTGTTATAATATACCCAGAGCCATAGTCTATCTAAAAGGCTATTAGTTTAGGGTCTCCAGTTTAGGAGAAAGCCCTTTAGTTGGATATGGTTGGGGTGTGTCAGGAAGTCTCTACAGCTCGAGCGGAGCATCCAAAAGGTCCTGAGGCGCATGACTCTAAACTAATAGTATAGTAGTTTCCATTTTCTTTTCCATTATCCCAATATAGCCCCAATATAACCCACTATAGCAGTTTCCATTTTCTTTTCCATAATCCCAATATAGCCCCAGTATAACCCACTATAGTAGTTTCCATTTTCTTTTCCATTATCCCTAGCTATATAGCCCCTATATACCCCCGATATTACCCCAGTAGTCATGGTTTCCTTGTTCATCCTCAGGTTTGCGCTTAATTGGGGGTTGGACTGAAAATCATTATTGTGTTTTCTTGGCTCTGAATCTGAAGAAGGGGTAAGTGCTCAGGAAATTCGGTTTGTTCAGAGACATAAGCATGAACGAAAAAGACAAGCTCAACCAATAGAAGGCTTGCTTCCGTGCGTTAAGGGCTCCTTGGAGGCGTGTGCTTCCTGCTGCCATGAAGCGCTCTATGAGGCTCCTTTGGGGTGGTGGCGTGGCCAGCTTTAACAGGGCGCTGGTTCAGGACCAGTAATACAACCTCTGTTCCACAGAGCCATGAGCCTAAAAACCCCAAACTCACGGCATAAACCCTAATATCCTCAACCCTGCATCCTTGACTTAAAGCGCTCTAAACCCCAACCCCTGAACCTAAGGTCGCTTTGGGCTGCAGCGGAGGTTCTCAGCGAGAAGGTTCCCGGCTACGTGCCCCGGTATGTTCATGACAAGCTTATGGGTGGTTAGTAGGGTGTGAAGGAGGACGGTATATGGACCAATATCAGGTAGAATGAAGAGACTGCTATAGGGATCCATTCCTCCGTTCCCTCCTGACCACCAATAGGCTTAGCGTTCTAAGATTTCCGCAGGTTCGAGTTCCAAGATTTCCATGGTCTGCTTTCGAGCTTTGCGATGATCAGCGTCTGTTCGTAGCTTAAGCTTTAGAGTCTTGTTATTGGACTTGGGGCAATGGAGGGCTGAGTCGTTAAGCATTTAGGGCTTTCGGTTCGTGGTTCAGTGGGGCCACGACAGCAACGTCCGAAAGCAAGATTCCCAGCCATTGATTTCGTGAGCCGCCTTTTGCAGCTTCTCTTGTGACTCTTATGATAGGATTGTTTCTGAGGCTTACAATCATTATACGAAACCGTGAAACAAGATCTCTTCAATGGAAAGCCAAGGACTCCATTGATTTGGGGCCCCAGAGTACGCTGCTGTTTTGAAACATAAGCGCCGCAAAGCCGAATTGCACAAGCCGAATTGCCGTGTCCTAAGGCAAACACCAACATCGCTGAGCCCAAACTCTGAAGCCCATGAGGCCTAAGCCTTCAACCAAATTTCAGAGCCTGCAAGCTCTGAACGTTATCTTGACACCTGGCCTTTGGTTAGCTAAGAATGAAGGAATGGATCCTTATAGTAGTCCCGGTATACTCCATTACAGTAGTTTCCATTTTCTATCCCATTCCTCCATTCCCAGCTAATCAAAGGCAAGGCACGAACAAAGCAAGGTCGAGAACGTGCTGATGTCCCGGCACGCTGAGGAGCGTGGCTTCGACGTCCGAGACGCTGCACTGCTGAGCCACGGTAGCAGAGCGTCAACAATGCGTGCATCACGATAACGATGGTGGTGATGATGCTGAAGATGGAGGAGGTCATACGCATGAACAAGATGGCCATGCTAAAGTTGAGGCTGACGACAATATTGATGTTGACCGCGATAACCATGACGAAGCTGCTGATGCTGCTGCTGCTGCTGCTGCTGCTGACGATGTTGCTTCTACTGCTGCTGACGATGCTGCTGCTGCTGCTGCTGCTGACGATGTTGCTCATGATGCTGATGGTGACGAAGATGATGATCTCTTTCATGATCATGTTGCTACTTCTCATGAGAAGTATGCTGCTGATGAGTCTGACAGTGTCTACCCACGTCGTGGTCGTGTCGTGCTTGAAGGGATTGTTGTCGTGCTCGTCGAACAATGCATAGAAAACACTGAAATGGTGACCATGCGAAGAGGTTGCTGCTATCAGAGCATTGCAGTAGTAAGAAAGGATGTTCAACATCAGATGATGTCAAGATGGTGTACCTTTAAGGCGTAGGAAGCATGCAATCAGGATTTTCAACATGGGGTGATGTCTAGATGTTATGTGCCAATGCTTCACTGTTCGGGGAGTCTGAGCGACATTTTGTTGGAATTTCGGGGTTACCGGGCACTCCGGAAGTTGTCTCTTCTATCCCGAGGGTCCCGAAGGGCCCCCCCATTTTCAGAACTCCCTGAACCTTAGACCCAAGACCCTTAAACCCCTAAACCCGGAAACTCTACACCCTATGCATGCCTGGGCTTTCTCAGGATCACCACCATCGAGCAGCTGGTTTTCGACTCCGAGAGCGCTCTGCTGACGAAAGTCTACGAGGCGATCGTCAGTTAGGATTATGCTGGGAGTTTAGACTATAGCTCACATACTACTAGACTTTCGGGTACCCTCAGCCTTACAGCTCTGAATTCCCACACCTTCTAGGCGCAGCGAAAACCCCTGGCACGGTCGTTGGGCCGTCCGGGCATCCATCAAGTGCTCGAGGCAGGGTAGGTAGGGTTTAGGGTTCAGGAGTTAGGGTTTAGGATTTGGGGCTTCAGGCAAAGGATTTACGATTTGGGGTTTAGGGTTTACGCCTGGGGGTTTCGGGTTAAGGATTTAGGGTTTAGGGTTCAGGATGTAGGATAGTCCGCCTTCTTATAGTTGTAGGATTTCATGCTAGCATGGTCTTTTTATGTGGTAGTAGGTTCGCCTTCTGTCTAGGCATTACGAATAGTTCAACGCAAGTTGGAACTATATCAAGCACCGCAGTTTCAATTTCATGTTCCATTATATGGGAAACAGGTTTGGGGCCTAGGGTGACTCGATCATCTAGGGTGGTAAGGTTTAGATTGTGTAACCTAAGCCATAAACCCGAAACCTAAAACCTGAACACTAAACTTAAACCCTAAATTCTAAAAGGCCTCAGGAGCATGGGGTTCGGTGAGGTACCGAATATTAGGGAAGCCGACCGAATAGTTGCTTTCCGAAAGAACCAGTCCTGCTCAGGGTTTCGGGTTTAGTTTAGGCTTTAGGGTTGGTTGGCGGTTTAGTGACACAACCACATTGTTCAGGTTGTTTCGTGCATTTGGGTTTTCAGGTAGTGGATCCTTCCTGTTACCCCCTCGTTCGATAGTCCTTCGTGTTCTTCTTGGCCATCTTCGAAGTGACTTGCAACTCCGAGGCATCTCTCCAAGTCTGGGTTCCCTCAACACCAAACCCCTTAGTTGCCCACCTGGGTTTCCCCTACATTAGGCTTTCTCAAGAAAAGCCGATGAAGGGGGGAGTGTTGCGGGATGAGTAGGGAACCCATGATGAAAGGGCGGCACTTGTTTCTATCTATTTCTATCCATGGGCAAATGTCAGGACTGCATCTTACAACCCTCCAAGGAGCCTTCTCTGACCCCGAACCCGAGCTTCAGGACTCAACTTAAGTAGGGTCAACAGAGACTTCCGCAGCCCTAACCTGTCTCTATTCCGAGCACCGCATGGCAACATGCCTTTGTGGCCCCTGCTGCTAGGCCTACCTTGTGCACTGGCTGCTGGGCGCAGATGAGGACTTGCAGGGGCTCATGGTTTCAGGGCCGGGGGCCAAGAGTTAAAGCCTAAGAATGTGTAGAATTCAAGGAAGGGTGTAGCAGTCAGGTGATGATGAGCTCCGGTTCAGGTCTGTGGGGGGTCCTTTTGCCAGGATGGCATCCAGATGCTCCTCAACAGCGAGAGGCTCCGCAGGAAGACCTTCCCGCACTGGGCTCCGTTGGCTGCGATGGGAAGGGGTGTAGAGGGTTGCGTGATCTTCAGGATTGAGGATTTTGTGCTCAGAATTCCTCCCCGGCGGTTTTCTTTGGATTTGGTGCTTGGAGGGCTTCGGGATGTTCAGGATTCAGAGGTTACGGCTTGAGCTTCTCAGGCTTTTCGTTGTGGGCTTCGTTTGTTTCATGGTCCTAAAACCTAACTGTGACCTCCGCACTTATCTAGGAAGCCCCCACAAAGCATCTTTGGGCACAGAGGGTAGTGGTGGGTCCTACATGGGGGTTTGCCAAAACAAGGGAGACTTTGTTGGGCACCCTATTTAATAAGGCTCAACATATTTTGGGATCTATATTGGGTTGCCCCTATTCATGGAAACAACCAGATTTTGTACTCAGGATGAGCTGGTCTCCTTCGTGCATGGCCAGGTGAAGGCTGGAGTTTGTTGTAGACCCGAGGCGCCTGGAGCTCCAAATCCTACGTCCCAACATCGAAAATGCAAGCTCAGGCCCCCAGGTCCCAGGATTTCAGTGGCTTTGGGGTTTGGTTTGGGAGTAGAGTTTGGGGAGTTTGTGAGAGAAGCATTGTGCGATTCTGGTTTGTAAGGGCCATTGCTATGCTCGTTATCAAAGAGGGATGCTGACTGAAGATTTGCAGGTGGCTGGACAAGCCACAGCAATTTTGAAAAGCTGTGGAGAATTGTTGGTAGGCCCGGTGGGTATCAAGACTGGGAAGACCCCGCTCGCCATTTGTCGCTTTGCATTGGGCGGCTCCACAAAGAGGATCTCCACAATGCTTCGGAACGCTTCGGTTGGGATCCTAAGCAATGTGCATGGCCGTGGACAAGAAGAGGTTCCTCATCATGTGTGTTCTTCAGCATTTATGGGATGGTTGCGGCTTTTTTCTCCACTGGTCATTTTGCGAACAGGGTTTTTAGCTACCATGTAGCACTGGTGGTAAGATGTGTAAGCATACGCGCGGTAATTGCAGTTGCAATTGCAACCTCTTCTGGCTAGAAGCCGTAGAGCAGAACGCCCTAACCTTTAAACACTGAATCCTAAGCCCTTCAATCCTAGAGAACTCCTGGAGATTAAATCTCTAACCCCACGCCCTAAAATCAAACCTTCAATCTCAGAGTGTGTAGCACACGAAGCAGTCACTGCTCATAGCTTGAAGGCCTTGGATTGGGAGAAGTCTCGCGACGCGAGCGGCCTGGCGTGACGAAAAGATTTTTGCAAGGAGCAGCTCGCGGGTTCCCGAAGTTTGTTTTGGTTCAGGACTGAAAGTTCGGGGCCTAGGAGTTGAAGTAATTTCTACGTATATAAACCCCGGAAGCAACCAACACTAAAAGATTTGATTGCTAGGGTTCCCAGGCAGGCAAAGGTTAGTTCATGCAACAGATGTTGCACGTTCCGAAGCGCACTCAACAGTTCCTTCCTTGCTCGCTTAGCATCATAGGACTCCTTGCTGAGGTGGACTTTCAGCTGGAAAGTACAGCTTCGAGGACACTCACCAGGCACCTTCTTGCAGAAAGCATCATGCGCTTAGGAATCAGCTCTTCAACAGTCCCTCCTCCTACCTTGCCTGGCTTTTTGTGTGAGTCCTTCATGAGCAGGCCTGATAGAAGTTGGTAGGGTGTGGTATCTTTAAAACCCAAAACCTTAAACCCAAACCCTAAACCTTAAACCCCAGATTGCCTCAGAAAGCACTGGAAGCCTGAGCTCTGAACCTGCATCCTGCTGAGACTGAGAGCCCCGAGCCCCAGGTTCTCAAACCCGAGCCCTAAACCCCGCAAAGGCTCCGTACACGGTGAACAGAGACCCTACATCTAATATGCAACATGATGACATTGGAGTCTCATTAGAGGCAGTACCAAAATTGACAGTGTTTTTCGATGTCTCACTATTGGACCTACTGTGCCAGCATACGGATTCATTCTAGCTTGCGTGCCATTATCCCTATCTAACCCCCATTTAGTACCCTAAACTCTAAATGATAGCTTCCGTTTTGTTTTCCATTATCTTTACCTAGCCCCCATTAAGTACCCTAAACCCTAAACCTTAAAAGCAATGAACTCTCACGTGCTGCCAGATTGTGGGTGGCATTACACACTCCTTTGCCTCGTTTTGGGAATCCGAGTGTATCGAGATGAAGGCCAGCAAGTTTTTAGGGTTTTGGGTTTAGGGAGGATGATGGGAGACATTAGGAGGACCCCCACCTTGTAATAATGGTACAATGGGAATATAAGAGGACCCTAATACAATAACCAGTATGCCTCATACTCACTATAACTGGATTAGGGGGTCCACCTAAGGGAGACATCGCCCAAAATATGGATGTCTTAAAACAGGTCGGCCCTGGAGACATGTGTTACGAGGAGATGTTAGAGTCCTCCGAGGACAATGGTAGGAACTCTCGTAAGACACTGCCAGATGCCTCAGCGGGTACGATGCGATCAGGCTTCGTAGGTTTGATGCAAATGCGCGGGGTTTTGAGCTTCAGCGTTGTTGAGATTCTGCATGTGGAGTATCGGGTCTTCATTCGGCTGTGTTGGCTGATTGGTGCTTGCTGTGCATCCGGACCTCGTGAAGAACTGTTGGAAATTAGTTGTTGGGGAAGTGGCAAACTCTCATGTCTCTTCTTGTCCAGCCCATGTAGGATCAGCTGATCGCCATGGATCCACAGCGGACGGGCCCTCGCCTCAGTTGAGTTCCAGTTTCTAACCTTCAATGTCTCGGGGTGTCCTACACCGATTCCAGAGGAGGGTGACGGACAGAAACTGTGCTTCTAAGGGGTCCATGCTGGGTAGAAAAAGCCCTGAAGGAATTCAGTCAAGGTAGTTATGCCATTCCTGACTGTGGCTGTCCCATGGCAGTCGACACACTTTCTTACTTCGGATGTGCGGCTTTAGAGCGATGCGCGAAGAGAGCCTGCAATGATCATACTTTATTACCAGTATTATTACCCTCAGTCCTATTCTTACTACTATGGTGGGTCTTATTGTTGATATTCTCAAATTCGTATTACTATTTTTCCTATTGAGCCTGCAATGATGGTCGAGGCCGTGTGCCCCTCTCCAAGTTCTATGGCAGCTTTGCAGCAAGCGGTGGATGCGCAGCCCAGAGCCCCAAATCCTCATGGCCCTAAGTTCTGAATCTGAAACGCCAAGCGCTGCATCCTAATTCGCAAGCCCGAAGCTTTGAACCCTAAGTCCCAGCACAAAGCTGCTGCAGGAACCGGTCTTGAAGCCGATTGGCGCTTCGCGGAGTCCGAGGCTGCTGGAGCTACTTTTGGCATCTGCTGAGTTGAGACCTCTTCTTTTGTTATTGAGCAGAGGATTTGGGCATGTTCGCACGAAACGTATTTCTAGATATTTCTCGGGAGATGGACCCGGGACTGTGGATGCTGGAGTTTAGAGGCCTACCTGCGTGAGCTCGGTGCTTTGGATGAGACGGGACGCGCCGGCAAGCAGGCGCGAGGGTGGGAGGCCGATGGAGGCAGAAGGAGGTGGGAGTTCGTGGCTTGCAGATTGGAGGTTGGAACTAAGGACTTTGGACCAGGTCCCGGGCTTGTGGTTAAAGGTTGAGGGTTCTGGATCAAATGCTTCGGCTTTCTGCCGAGAACCTCGGATGCCTGGGCTTAATGTTTCAGAAAGTTTTCAGTGGAGCGTCTCGAAAAGAGCTGGACTTGTTTCGCTCTTTCATATACATCTTCCAGTATAGTCGATTGCATTAGTTTCTTGGGCTTGGAAAAGTTTCAACCCCTCAGATTTGAGCATGGCCTGTCCAGGGGTCAACTGAAGACGATCAACGAAGCGTAAGCCCGTGACCAGTCCAACACTGGTCCTTACATTGCTTCGTGTTGCAAGTAGCTTGACAATCAGCACGAGTCCATTTTCTTGTTCCTTCCTTTCAGTGTTTGTGGCGCCGGCCCACTGCTGTTTCAAATTCTAACCATTCTTGAGAGGTGATCATCCCGAACTACATCCAGGCAGCTTCGAACTGCATCGTTCGAAGCTTAGCCACAGAATGCTGCAGGGGTATCTTTAATGTTGTTATTTACCATCATCTGCATCACTATCAAAACGTGCTCAGCGATTGCTTTGCTGCCAGCATCGCAGAAGTTTTAGTATTTCTTTGGCCTGAAGCTTCATGCCCTTCGATGCAGAGGTCTTTGTAGACTGTGACCTGGGGCACTCGAAAATGCTGGTTCCAAGAGCTTTTGCTAGCATCTAGTGCAAGTGCTAGTCATGTCTAGCTTCGGCACAGTTGGAGTGTCTGCAAAAGGTCCCCCTTGTCTGAGCGCCGTTGAACGTGCCTCTTGGGGCCTTCAATATATTGGGAAGCTTACTTCTGCGGTTTCTGACAAAGTGGTTTTTAGTGCACACCTCAAAAAGGTAGAACTTCCCGTTGGACACTGAGGAGTCGCGATTTCTTCATAATGTCCCTTATACATCCTTTGGGCTAAGGTTGCCACGAACCACTACATGGTCTGCTGCCAGAATGACTGCAACCCTTTGCTGGCAGAGCTTGACCGATCTCTCAGGAACTTTGCTTTGCTTGAAGGGCTAGGGTTCGAGGGGCAGTCCTGTGTGCCTCATGTAGCAAAACATGAGATAGATGTTCAGCAGGTGCTATGAAATGCTGACAAGGGCAGTAGAAGGACTAATTACGTCGGAGTATCTCTAGGTTTTCCACAGGTTTTTGAAGGTTCTGTTCTGGATGATTTTTCAGGCTCAGGGCTCCTGGTCCATGAAGTGATAGTTGCATGCATCTGCAGCCCTTTGCCTGCTGCCTGATGAAGCCACTTCTGTGGGAATAATCCTGGGCACTACTCTACCACCTTTCCTCCTTAGGTTCAGCCAAAGTGCTCCAACTCAAGCTGAAGTTTGTTGGTTGTAGCCAAGCTGTAGATGCGCAAAGCCACTTGCCAGACCCGCGTGAGAAGCTGCACCAGCACGGTGCTATGCCTGTTGCTTTGTGCCGTGCTCCCCTGGCTTCTGGAAGTCCTTGCCCATGTTGCTCAGAAACAGGCGGCAGCTGTGGCCGAGGCACGCAAATATCGAGGCGTTTCCTATTGTAGACGAGACTGTGCCTACAGGGCGGCCTGTTGGGGCAAAGGGGGTACTGGATACCTGGGCCTCTTCAACTCAGCCAAGCAGGCAGCAGAGGCTTATGATGAAGAGCTGAGACGGATTGCCTTGATAACAAATTCAAGCTCAGTAAATGGCTAAACTTTCCCTCGGAGATGGAGGCAGCTTTCCGGGAGTCTCCTCAGCAGGCTCGCCAGCGTGGGCTCTCCATTTATGGTAGCAACCACCGAAAGGAAGCCAGATCTTTTGAGCTCTTAATGAGAGCATTTGCGTCTTCCAAGTACTCTGACAAGTATGAAATTGTGCGCTTGTCAGGGGCCTCTAGGGCTGACGCCCTGTTCAAAATGAAGGGTGCAGGGCAACGAGGATTTTGCATTCAGCTCAAGGCAGCTACAAGCAAATGCAGCCGAGGCGATGTATACTCTTTTAATCACGTGCTGGGATATAGTGGCATGCTTATGGTTTTCGTGGCCCTGGATGGCGGCCACATTTGGGCAGCTTCTGGTCGTCAACTGTCTGCTAAGTACATGACGATGACTATTGGAAGTGAGAGGGACCATAAGTGGAGAGTCTCAGACATAGGGTCAGTCTTGGCTCTTTGCTTCCATGACGTTCAGGAGTTTCCACATATGTCAATCCAGGAGGCAAGGCAGCAATGCTCACCCAGCCACAGAGTTGAGGCAGCTGCACATGAGCAGCTCCGCCTTCTCTTCAGCTGCTGCAGCATGTGCCTGGCTTATCCCACAGAGCACCAGACAACTGTTGACTCTGTGCTGGACGCGTCTTACGGAAACACTGTTGGGTTATTGCGCTTGCAGGAAAAGGCATCGCACCTGTCCAGGAGAGCATACTTTGTACACATGGCCAAGAAAGGAGACGCCCTTGGAAGTCTTCCCTACGACCCGGATGATTTTGATGTTCTTGCTGCTTGCGTGCTTCATGAGGAAAGGCTGCAAGGATTGTTCCTGATTCCCATCTCCGTGCTGGTTGAACAGGGCTTCATTGGCAAGAAGCCAAAGAGCCTTCGCCTGTTTCCCACCTGGTGGCCACCGAAGCAGAACCGCACCAAGAAGAAGTACGCCTGGCAGCTAGACTTCTTCCTTGACCTCCGCACATGGCCTGGTTCAGCCGAGCTGCCGGGACAGCTGGAGCAGCGCCTGCGGCGTCTCATCTCACAGGTCCTGCACTTGACCAGACAAAAGAAACGTGTGCGCTGAAGGGCTTTTAGGGATGTTGCCCCAAAAATGGAAAATCAAATGGAAAAGATAATGGAAAATGAAATGGAACATAGGGAGAATATGAGCTATGGTCTAAAGGTCCCAACTTCGTGGTTGCCGCTGAATTTCAGGGTTCCTATCCTCAAGGAAGGAGAGAGCAGTCACGGTTCTGTCAGGTTGCCTTCATGATTATCCTTCAAAAGGGGTTCTCCAAGACAACCTAGCTAAATTCGGCCGCAACTGCAACCCTAAGCTTTCCCGCTGAATGGAGTGGCTGATGCTCAAAAGCTGCTGATGATATACTTTTACAGGAACAGCTTGAATTGACTTGTGCCTGCGTATGCATGGCAACCTGTCCTAGCTTCAAAGTTGTGCATGCTAAGACCAATATGAACTCAGCCGAACAACCATCAAGAAACCTGTGAGCTTCATGTTACTTTTGGTTAGCTAGGAATAAGGAATGGATCCTTATAGTAGTCCCTATATAACTATTATATAACTGCTTATAGTAGTTTCAATTGTCTTTGCCATTCCTTCATTCCCACCTAAACCCTAAACCCTTAACTCGACACCCTAAACCCTAAATCCTGAAGTCTAAACGGTAGCTTCCATTTTCCTTCCCCTTCCTTCTTGCCCAGGTAACCAAAGGTAAGTAATTCCTCTGTATAACACAAATTTCCATTTCATTGTCCACTTTTTTCCATTTGATCCTCTATTATTAGTGTATTATATATCCCCATATAGCCCCATTTAGCCCCTAAACCCTAAACCCTAAACCTTAAACCTTAAAACCCTAAACCCTAAACCCATATAACCTATAATCCTAAACCCTAAACCCTAAAACCTAAAACCCTAAACCCTAAACCCAAAGCCCTAAAACCTAAAAATCTAAGCCCTAAACCTTAAACCTTAAAACCCTAAACCCTAAACCCATATAACTATAACCACTTCATACCCTAAGCCCTAAAACCTAAAACCTAAAACCTAAAACCCTAAACCCTAAACCCATATAACTACAACCACTTCATACCCTAAGCCCTAAAACCTAAAACCTTAAACCCTAAACCTTAAACCCATATAACCCCTTCAAACCCTAAACCCATATAGCTATAACCACTTCATACTGCAAATTCTGCCAAACCCAACCTGCCAGGAGCCCCACCGCCGAGCCCCAGAGGCCGCTGCGAAGGGTGCAAGCCACACAGAGGGCCCGAGTAGTAAATATGGTTTAGGGATCAGGGTTTTAGGGGTTTAGGGGTTTAGGGATTAGGGTTTAGGGATTAGAGTGGGATTAGGGTTTAGGGGTTTAGGGATTAGGGTTTTAGGGTTTAGGGATCAGTGTTTTAGAGGTTTAGGAGTTTTGGGTTTTGGGGTTTGGGGATTAGGGTTTAGGGATTAGGGTTTCGGGATTAGAGTGGGATTAGGGTTTAGGGATTAGGGGTTTAGGGATTAGGATTTTAGGGTTTAAATTCGTGAAAGGGGGGTTATATAGGGTATTATATACGGAAGTATTACAGGCCTACTAAGGGGGATACTCGGAGTTTAGACTACAGCTCATATAGATCTACAAGAGTTCATGCTACTCCTTGCTGATTCTGAATGCATCCTAAAGTTTGCGCATGTCTCAAGAAGAATTTCTGTGACATCTGCAGTTGTGTTGCTGGTTTGATCCTGAGGCAGATTGAAGAAGTAACCTACCGTAGCGGTACATTTCTCCTTTGCCCCTGTGCACTCGCCCTCAGCCTTTCAATGCAGAAACTAGTCCTGACCATCGAAAAGAACTTGGGGAGCTGCACACTGGGGGGTATCCTGAAGAGCTCAGCGTGCAACCTGGTTTTTGGCCAGTTTATGAGACCATTGCGGAGGATCCTGGCGGTCGTGCGCAACATGACCTCCGGTAGTTCCATCGAGGACTTCGTTGCCAGTCAGCCACGGATTTTAGGCTCCCAAACCGAGGAAGCTTCCATATTTTCAAAGCGGGTTTAGTTCAAGAAAGCAGTCATTTTGCTGGGCTTGACCATCAATGAGTTGCTTCCGCCTTTTTTTTAGGAGTTGGGTTTGTGCTGTCCGGCGCACTGGCCTGCACTTCCAAACCTACCCCGCGTAGACCATGGACCTAGAGCTTTAACTAACGCTTCAAAGAATTTTGGGTTATTTCAGAAACTTGGAAGTTCGTCATGCAGCATTCCCACGTATTCCATGCTTGGATCCCATCCCATCATACTCCATCATGGAAAGAATTGTGACATGAATCCTTGAGGTAATCGGGTACTCCTTTACGAATCCCGTGTACGCGTACCTATCTAGCTTCCTATACATCACCGTTGAAGGACACTCCTGAAATCATCATTACACGCTCCTCTGTCTAGCTCCCTCTGTACGTATATATACATGTATACGCACATATTCCTTAAGGCAAAACTCTTTCTGGGCATGCCCGTGGCCAGGACGAGATCGATGTGCGTGTCGATGCAGCGATGGTGGCACAGCTTGAGGCGATTGCGGCGAGCCACGGCGGAGAGGTCCAGGGGGAAGCCCGAAAAACAAAGGGTTGGGTTCGGGCTTTAGGGGGTTTGGGTTAAGGGTTAAGGAGTGTAGGGTTTAGCTTACCCAAACCCACTAAACCTTCAATTCAGAGCAGCAATGGCTTAGCCCTGTCGCTGTAGCATGTGTCTGTCAGCACCCCAAGTACTTGACCTTCGTCGCAGGGACCTGCATGGGATTTGCCAAAAACAGATTCACCACATGCTCATGGTTATTTCAAGAACATGTTTGCTTAGATTCAAGGTGCAAAGGGGGTGGGGGGCTTCGGGGAGTCGCGGGCGGCAATTGTATTTGTCCGTGAACAAGAATTTTGTCATGAACCAGGAGGGACATCGAGGAAAGAGCGCCTCAACAAAAAAACAACAAAAATGACACTGTCTCCAAACTCCTGCACCTGGCAGCTGATCAGTAGTGGAACCCTAAACCCGCTAAACCCTAAATCCTAAAGCATCATCATTGACGGCTGCCATGATAGCTCCCAACTTCGATGGGTCATGGAAGGTTCCCATTCATGGACGCCTGTTCCTCCAGTGCCTTGGCTGAAGCAGGAACAGTCGGCCGAGTAGTCTTTTATTTGGGGATACTCTAGGGTTGTATTGGGGATTATATAGGGGAGTAGTATAGCGGTTATGAAGGGGGATACTTGGAGTTTAGACTATTGAGTAGCATTTTTTTGGCATACCAGGGTAGCCAATATAGAGTACAATCATATCCTCCTTTTGGGTATAGCCTTTTGCACAAGGAATTTAATCTTACTGGGTTCAACCACCACAAAAAGCTACTCAACTGATGCGAGGCCTGGGGTTCCTAAAGGTTTTTGGTTAGGTGCCATATCAGGTTGTCACGTAGAAGCCTAAGCATTGACCACGATTATGGTCCGATTGCACGTAATCGTGTTGTAAATGGGTACCTCAAATAGCCTTCAACATTTCATTGTGAATTATTCCGGCCCCTACGGTTTTACTCGGTGCAAGGACAGGCTTTGGCAGCTTCACCCATGCTTTCATCAAAACCCCATCATTTTGTAAGTCAACCTCTCAGCGGTTCCCTCAACCCTAAACCCTGAACCCTAAATCCTAAACCCTAAGTCCAAAACTTTACATCCTAAAACAACACATATCCTAAACCCTAAGCGCTAAACCCTAAACCCAGGTGGCTTCACTACGTGCCTTGGTGGCCCTAGTTGGGATTTGGAAGCCGGTTTCAATTCCCAAACCCCCAAAGGGATCTAAAAATTAGATCCCCTAGAAGACTATGGGGAATTATATAAGGATTATATAGGGGTTATTATAGCTTTATATAGGGGATCTATTTTTTAGATCCTCCCAGGGGTCTGGGTTGGGCTAGGTCGCAAGCGAGGCGTCGGATGATGTAGAGTGCTCCTGCTATGAGTCTTTCCTCTTTGTAGATCATAGCTTAGGAGGACCACCCACCCTGTAATAGTGGTAAAATCGGACTATAAGAGGACCCTAATATGATTCCCGTTATCCATTCTCGTCACTATTACTGGTTGGGGGGTCCACCTGAATCATAACCGTGTTGCATTTGGATCTTGAGGGGTTTCTACTGCAGGGCAGTTTGGAGGATGGCCCTTGTGATCCTTGTTTGCATGGCGGTATGTCAGCTGCTGCAGAATCCACAAACCCTAAACCCTAAACCCTACATCTTATGTCTGCCGAAAGGCCTTTGACTTCGTGCTGAGGTTAAAAGAGACGTTGCAAAAAAAACCCTAAATCTTTGTAAGTATGTCGTGACATTGTCACTGTCTGAGGTCTTCCCGCGGGAGTGCCCCTTCCCTCACAAGTCCGGTACCACCGTCCATCGGGCGCCCTTGGAGTTCCAAGGCCATGGTTCTGACGTTTTCTTGCTTGTGTATGATCCTTATATAGGGATAATGGAAAAGGAAATGGAAACTACTAGAATGGGGTTATATGGGCTTTTTTCTGGTACAAGCTTTCATTTTAAGATTTGGGGTTCTAAATTTTAGGTCTTGCCGGGAGTTCAGGCTTTTGCATCTGCCGTTTTACTTACTTGGAAAGCTACAGCTGATCTGTCCTTCAGCCGCTTGGCCGTGGAGCTGACCGCCTGATGACTTAACCTCTGGTTAGTTAGGAATGGAGGAATGGATCCTTATATCGGGATAATGGAAAAGGAAATGGAAACTACTATAATGGGGTTATATAGGGTTTAGGGTGTAGGGTCCCTATATAACCCCTTATAGTAGTTTCCATTTTCTTCATTCGCAGCTAACCAAAGGCAAGATGAGCTGATCGGCATGTCGGCTCATCGGTTGAAGCCCAGTTTCCGATCACGCTTTTCCGCCTTGAGTCGGGTCTAAGAATCTATTTCAGCCCTTGCTGACAAACAGTGTGTCTTTGGATTTAAGCCATCATGGTCAAAGCTTGTCCTGATTCCTTTCAACGTCTTTCTACAACGCGGCATGGGTTGCTTCTACATGTTTTCAATTACGTGCCGAGGGTTTTTGCGGTTCCCTGAACTCTAGCGCTGCACTTAATGAGCATGCAGCATCCCTTTTCAGCGTCAAGCAGGGTCGTCATGTCAATGTGCAACAAAGGGTCGGCAAGGTTTGTGGGAAGTACTCCGCTCTGGCTGCTAGTTGGCTACCAGAAGTATGTTTCGGCCTCGGTAGCAAATGCTGCGCTGAATGTAGGAAACTGCTGGGTCCCGGCCCATCATGTCATCTGAAGTTTTGTTGGGTTAGTCGGAAATTTGGACTCTGATCTTCTTCACACTGTATGGCACTTAGCTGCTTACTTAAACTGGGATTTCCTAATATACGTTGCTCGGATTCACATCATAGGGTCCCATCGATTTGCGACATGGTCAGGCAATGGATCTGTGGCAGGTCCTTTAATGTTCTCCCCATAATTACACTCCCAGGTCATGCTTGTTTAGCTTGCAGATGATCAGGGTTTAGGGTTTAGGGTTTACTAAGGGTTTAGGGTTCAGGGTTTGATTCCATATAAATTCCCTGTGCACCGGGGCAGGCGAGTACGTGGCCTCACAGGAGACGATGAAGGCTGGTTTGGGGAATAAGGACAAATAATACCTATGTTTTTTCTATATGTTATATTCCCTTTTTCCCTAGTTACCCTAGCTACCCTCAACCCTAATCCATATATAACATATTCCCACATTCCCTACTTACCCTAAACCCCAATTCCTAAATCCTATGTATTCCCTTATTCCCTACTAAGAACCAGTAAGTTATTCCCTTATTCCCTGCTGGAAGCCAGTGACCTCTTCCCTTATTCCCCACTAAAAGCCAGTAACTCATTTCTGTATTCCCTACTGAGAACCAATAAGTTATAGGAACGCTAAACCCTAAACCCTACCCACCAAACTTTCAACCCTAAACCCTAAACCCTCACTTATAGCAACTCTAGCTTGCAGACCCCGGGTCGTCGGTCAAAGCTTAGCGGGATATACAAGAATATAGGGGTTGTATAGAGGGATTTAGGGCTTAGGGTTCAGGNNTTTCCCTAAACTAGGGGTACCTTTATGAGAGTCCCCATATTAAAGATTATAGTATTCTGGGATATTTTGGGGTCCCTGGAAATGTTCCGGAAGTGGGCCGCTTTTTTCAAGAGGAGAGACCGTTGTTTTGGGAACCTGGAGCATATGACACTTTGGTGTTCAGTACCTTACTCCAAGCATGAACTTGGATTCAGGGCAACTTTCGGCGGGGCAGAATTCCCGCCACCCTATCTCCAGCTTTACAGTGTTCGTCAACATCAGCATGGCTTCATGAACCGGTGGGGTACTCCTGAGCGGGGCTTCTCATAATGACCTACACCCCTTGGTTTATTCTCGCACTATCCTTACCGGAGCTAGACATAGGTTCTTGCATAGGTTTTCTTGTGGGTGTCTGTTTGAGATGATGACAGGCCATGTGATTAGTTTCCACGCCCAGAAAGGAAAATCCTCAACATCTGTATTGTGTAAACCCTTACATGTGAAGGACCCTCCTGCGCAAAGACTTGCGTCTGTATTGTTTAAACCCTTACATCTAGAGAACCCTCCTGCCCAAAGACTTGGAATGCCCCATCTTGGGCATTGAAGCAGACAGAGAAACTTCATAGACAAGTGGGCTGGGTACACCACAACCTTCAAGTGTGCCTCCGCAAGCCCTAAACCCTAAACCGGACGTGTACCTTCCAATTGCAGGCCGAAGCGTCTTCTTTGCCATCTGCTGAGCTGCCGACCTTGAATGCTGCGCCCTTAGACCTTTTGAGGGATCTTGGTCTGCTTAGGGTCTTGGGCTTAGGGTTT